ACTTCGTAGAACTCAATTAGGGTGAAACAAAAGCATAAAGTAAAAAGAGTCTATACCGTTAACAATAGGCTTTGAGACAGAAAAACTAATTTTTATGAATAATTAGAAACTTTTATTAGGATTAAACTTTGACGTAAAATCTCAAAAATAGATCGTCCCGATTGCTTTGGTATGGTGCAATCCAGCAAACTAAAAAATAGATATGGCTGACCACCCCTCCATCTACGGAACCTCACGGCACCTCACCTATAGAATAGCTATGACGTCGACGTTATTACGGGCCCGGAGTAGGGTCTGGAGGAGAGCACCGTTTCGCACTGGTGGCACCGGGCGTAGAAATCTCATTTCATATCTACTATAAGACACTATGTGTAAGCTGTCATTTGCGAATTAGGTTTTAAGGCTGTATTTTCTCCCAAGAATTATAACTTTCACTCGTTTTTAGTTTTGTCTCTAATACCTGGCAAAATGCGTCGTTGTCTTCTTCACTCGGTTGAAGAGAATTTGGAAATTGWAGAGTAATGATCTCGTTATGAGGCCAAGAGAGTGGAACCTCAATGAAAGCCATCCATATCTAAGAAGAAAAGAAGAGCCCATCTTTTTGTAATAATAAACAATTTAAGGGACGGGAAGGAGAAAAGAGTTGAAGTAGATAAGACGATAGGAAATTAAAAAGCATGATGCAGTAACATACCACTTCAATATCCTTGTGACGTCCATCAAATGTTCTTGCTTCTCTCAAACAAATCGTAAATTCATCTCTTGCGATGTGTTCTACCCAAACAGCAGCAGCATCTTGCCTTTTGTTCAGTACGTTGTGACGAGCTGTGATGAAAACTTTGGGCTTGTTTGGGAACCCCTTTTTGGATTAAATTAAAATAGGTTAAATAAGGTGAAGCGTCAAATGTACAAATCATAAAGTATTGGAATGGGATTGGAATAGACGTTCTAAGAGGATTCAAGCCATTATTAAATATAAATTGCTTCGTCACCGAACCAACCTGTGATAGAGGTACTCGGTTACATTGTGTTCCTGTCGTCCAGTCGTTGAACCTGGTACTTCCTTCAGCCACACCTGATTCAGTCACTTGATAAGCAACCCAGTTCACTCGTACAGTCCCCTCGAACCCAGTCCCGCTCTCAACCACACACACCCTAAACCCACTCGTAGTTACGGACTCGGTCCACGTGAATGCTACATCATGCACACGCGACGAGTTTGTTCCCAAGCTTAAAGATATTAAGACTTTTATTGTATCACTCCCAGTGAAGGATGATGGGAAGGTTACTGTGTCACAGTAAAATCCATCGACAGCTGAGCGTCCGATCTGTATTTTTCCGTGCTGTAACCCTTTAACAAGAAATTCAAATAATGAAAACTGTACATTAAAAAAGAGACTTAATCACCTATGTCATATCATATAATTTGAAGGTTACTATTTAGGTAGTTTTGTCGAACATTTTCGAACTTAACAGTTTATCTTCAGGATCATTTAGTTTAGTCCTGAAGATGAACTGTTAAGTTCGAAAACGTTCGACAAAACTACTTAAATAGTAACCTTCAAATTATATGATACATTAAAAAAAACATAATAATAAACTTTACGTATTAGTGATTATTTTATATGTTGGCATCAGATTCTTCGGATACCGTAGGCTTCACATAAAAATAGTTGCAAGTGAAAAATGTAGATTTGGCATCCTCCCGGTTTTTTTCGTTGCAAGCATCAGAATCCTGGTTTTACCCAAAAATAGCTTGAAAAATCAACTAGCAGTAGGTCATTTTCGAACTATATCTTTTCCTAAATGAATTTTCGAAACGAATGCAAAAGTTCAAAATTACTTTTATTTTAAGCGTATTTTTCTGAATGATAGTTTTTACTCCTAAGTTTTGGGGGGRAAAATTGATCCGTGTATTGTACAGCCATAATTAAGCATCCTTATATCTTGTGAAAAAGACAATTGAAGTTTTCTATCTTTTTCACTCTTTAGATCGTTTATAGCGGGTTTTTTCCCAAATCTCCCTAATACGATAAAAGAGGTTTCTTACCGCTAACAGCGCCAGCAGCAAGCACGAAGAGCACTACAGCAGCAATTTTTGCCATAGCTGATAATGGTCCTTCACCGTAATGAGTTATGGATGCTTGAGGCAGCCTTACTTATCGTAATGGCAGTAAGAATGACGTAACTTACAATGTCTTTGATCAACAACAATATTCTCAAAACCTTAAAACTTGATTCAAGCCTTGTAAGTCCACGATAAATCACATTCCAAACATTCCAATGTTTACGATGTTGATCAAAGTGTGTTTCTCCCCTCTAAATGTCAAATATGCGATTCCTTTAGGAAATGGAAAATAATATAATACCTTTATTTAAACACGATAGTATTTAAAGCTAGTAAAAGCTTGTGGGGTCGTGCTTTCTTCTTTTGATGGAGAAGTTCTATCTTGATTGGATACTAGCTTCGTGTTGTTTGTTTACGGCAAGAAGTAAATTTTTACCAAGTAATAGTAATATAAGTAATAAGGCTACTTTATAATCTACTTTATAATTCATGCAAAACCGAAACGTCCTGTCAAAAAAGCAGCGTTTTCCTAAGTAACTTAAAAGTTTTTAGAAAATATGTAAATAGAAGCTCATTTTTCTCGCAGTATTCTACACCAAGATGAAGTCATTGTTTTCTGATTGGGTACTCATGATAAACTTCGTCACAAGTGATTTTTCTCAAATCCAACAGAGTCATATAATGCAGTTTTTCCTAAGTTACCTTAAAGTTTTTTGAGAAACATGTAAATAAAAGCTTAACTTAATACTTCAACACTTTGATTTAATAATATAATGAACTTTTTTACTGAAATTTTTTTGTGCTATAAATCTTAACACTGCACATTCTCGATCCTTGCAATAGTCTACACCCATCCAATTGCAAAGCTATTTTTACTTTGATGTCAATAATTTCTGATACTATCTGATACTCTCTTTCGCTAGGATCTAGCTAGGATAGCGTCTTGTAATAATCAATGGACCTGTTTTGTTTCAATAGGCCATTTCACGGATCCCGTTACTTAACCTCAGCCTCGTCAGCGTGTAATTATTCTTTAGAATTTGACTACAGTCCGCAGTAATGAAAGGAATTTACACATCAACGAACAATTGAAACACTTAAAAATTTCACAGGTTGTAGGCAATTTCTAAGGAATATATTACACGCTGACGAGGCTGAGGTTGAGCCGCGGGATCTGTGAAATGGTCTATTGCTTGGCTTGCTTATTCTCCTGATCTATTCAGGATTTTGAATGAGACATGACTACGCAAAATATGTTAGTAGTTTACCCTATATTCGGATGGCTGATATCGTGGGCTCGAGCCCTGGCGGCAAAAACAGCAGGGGTCTCAAAATGAATACTGAATAAGAAGTTATTGCAATAACTCTGGAAGAAGAAGAAGAAGGAAAATATATATATATATATATATATATATATATATATCAAATGACCAGACCTCAATGTTCGTTTGATTAGTTTTATTTGTAAAAATGGCGATCGAGTCCCGATGAGCTAGAAATTGCAAACTTCACTAAGAGTAATGTGACGATTACATCGACATATATCGAGTTTAAAAACAGCATACTCTAGTCGATGTTGTGCGTTTTTCCACAGCTATTTTTGTGCTGATTCCATGAAATCGTATTTGGCTTCTTGAGAAAGCGAGTGAGGCTTGGTTGAGTCGGGTTTATTAACTGGGATGAGTGCCCTAAACCTTGTGCACAGCCGATCTTTTATTCCTTTTTTAAAATATTTTTCTTGGCTAGATAAAGAACTTTATTGTTCTTGCTAGTAATCCGAGGTAATGTAAGCAATTCCTGTCTACGCAAATTCTTTGCACAGTCTCCGCGCGGCAGATTAGCGCCATATCATATCCATATCACCGGTATCTTGAGGTATTCCGCACCGTTTACGACAAGTTAGTTTAATTCATGATTCATTTGATTTAAAAAACAAAACATAGGATTAAAATGAGAATAGATAGATCTTCCAATCAATTAAACTAAACCTTTTTAACAGTACTTTACTATGATGGAACAACCAAAAATCATTTTCGGATCGAATGGTGCGGTCTCACTGGGTAACTTAGGAATCACTCGTATTGCAATGCTATGCTTCAGCTTATGATGAAGAAAATTTAAGTTGAATTTTTATTTACATGTTTCTTAAAAACTTTTAGGTATCTTAGGAAAAACTGCATTATATGTCTCTTTTAGATTTGAGAAATAACCCTGATGATAAAAGGCGTAATGAGCACCCAATGAAAATAAAGGGAAAACTTCAGCTTGGTGCAGATTACCGAGAAAAAACGACGTTCTATTGACATATTTTCTAAAACTTTCTAGTAACTTAGTGAAAGCACTACTTTTTTGACACGACGTTTCAGTTTTGATGAATTAGAAAGTAGATTGTTTTCTGTTTATTGGACAAAACTCTTACTTGGTCAAATTTACAATTTACTTCAAGTAACAAACAACACAAAACTTGTGTCTCATGAAAATAGAACTTGTTCTTCAAAAGAAATTACAAAATTATTTGTTAAGAGAGGAGAAAATTAAATTTGATCAGCATTATCAAGGGCG